CTGCTCCTGCTCCTGCTCCTGCTACCGCTACTGCTACTGCTACTGCTACTGCTACTGCTACTGCACCAACACACAGATCAAGCGCCAGCATCAGTGCCAGCATCAGAAATAGTAGAAGCAGAGATAAGTGTCATTCCGCGTCGAATCGAAGCAGATGTTTGTCACGAGTAGTCATAATGGCCAAGACTACGAATTCCTGCGAACACAGAAATTCCCAACACCTAGAATGGTCAAGATGGTTCTTCGGTGGCACAGCGCGCACACACACAGACACAGAGACACACGCAGACACATATACAAGCACCCCATGCTGCGACGGAGGAGCTTGCAAGACTCTCCCGAATGGTCGAACACCAGCGACGTCGAGGCGGATGCCGAACGTCGCCTCGCGACGAATTCTTCCGAGGCCTGGAGCATATGGCTTGGTGGGTTGAACCCTAGACCTGATGCTAAGCCTCGAAGAGCCAATCTCATCCTTGGTGCCGAAGGAGACGTCTGCCACAGAGCCTTCTGCTACGCATCCAAGCCCTCCGTGCGAAGACAACGACGCGGGCTATCAGACCCATAGCAGCAGCAGATTGTGAGTTTAGTTTTCTTATTCTTGGACCAAAGTGGAGGGGTATGAGCTCGACGTTGTTCTGTTCAGGCGAAGCGGGAGAGGGTTATCTCAGACTTGGCTGGCTCTGGCATAAGCTCTACGATTGTGGGTTCCGCTGTTAGTGAGCTTGCACTTGTGAGCCGTTAAGCCTCCACACTCCAAGCCCTCTACGTATAGAAACCCTTATTCTAATTATAGAACCGCGGGTATCAGCCGCGATAGTAGCCCGTATGGTATCTCTTAATATCTCTTATAGTATCCCGTCTTAGGTATCCCCTACACAACCTCTTCTAGCAAGCCTTCCAGTACCTTCTTTCGAGGGTCCTGAGCGGTTTTGCTGGTTTGAATCGAGCTCTGCCCCAAGGCTTAGCATAGGCTTAAGGACCTATCTGGGTCCTGAGGACTTTGTTGGGTTCCTTCTTGTCATCTATAGAAGGAAAGGGTGTTTTTATGTTTCGTGTTTTCTGTTGATTTTATCCGCAGGCGAAACCCCGGCAAGCAAGCAAGCAAGTGACTGAGCGAGTGCTTCCGCGCAGCAACCGCAAACAAAAACGACACACACACACACACGCACACACATACACACACGCTGGAGGAACAACAAAGAAGCAGCAGCAGCAGCAGCAGCAGCAAGAAAAAGCACACCCTTGCCAGATATAGAGTGCAACTCCAAGGGGTTATGCAGAATAGTTCTTTTTCGCCGGATCTAAGCGGCTTATACTTATAGACCAAGGTTAATGGGTGTTGTGATTTTTGGTGTTGAACTCTATGGCTGAAGGTTTTGGGAGTCAGCCCCAGACCCTCAAATCCCAAAATAGCCGCTTAGTCCCTGTCGTCGTCGCCGTCGCCATGATGACAGAAGTCGTCATCGGAGAACGGCTATCCACTATCTGTACAATGGTATTTTACTTACAACTCAGCAAAGCTAAGGGATTTCTTTTCCGACCTCCAAAGTCGAAGAAGTTCTCATCTGATCCCCGAAATCCTTGAGGACGGAGGAGAACAACCCCAACATCACCTGTCACAGTGACGCCCTGCATGCCTGCCGCACCGATCTCGGAATCACGCACTGCGCCAAGGACAGAGTGCAAGGTGTAGGGTTTCAGGTTGAGGGTTTACGGGTTTTTAGAGTTCAGGATTTGGGCAACGAGTTACGCGGAGGGGCTGCAGGAAGTGTGACCTCGTACGTGTAGGCGAGCACCTAGACCCCAGCCCCCTCTTGTTCTGGGTTTGGGCTTACCGGTCGAAGTGGATGTGCTCTAACGGTTTAGGGTTCAGGGTTTATAGGGCTTATAGGGCTCATAGGGTTTATAGGGTTTACAGGGCTTATAGGGTTTTTAGGGTTTGGGGTTTAGGGTTTAGGATAGATCATTGGGGTACCCAAAATTCTTGCGAATCTTAGAAGATGAGCTGAGGATGGGAGTCGTGATCTTTGGAAATTGGGGGTTTCTATAAGAATGCCGGACCTGGGGTTCAGGATGGTAATCGTATATTATAGTATATTCTTAGGATATATTTTTGTATGGTATAGGTTATTATAGTATATTATAGTATATTGTGGTATATTATCGTATGACTTCCGGGAGTTTTAGCGGGGATCAGGGGTTTTTGGTTGCTGGGTAAAGGTTGCCACCACGTGAGGCTGGGCTTAGGCTAGAAGTGACCCGAATGTTAAGCCCAAGACACTTCACACTCATACCGAGCCAATTCTGGAATTCGGGCTGATGTTAAGCAAGAAGGGTTCGGGGTTGTTCTAAACATGGGTTCAAAAATGCAGTCCTAAACGTTGCTGGTTTGGGGGCTTACAGACTTGGAATTCAGACAACTTTGCACTTCCTTTTTTTTTGGAGTGGGGGATCCCTGGCTGGGTATCCGGCTCTGGAGGTTTACGATACTACGACTTGATACTTGATCTGCAGTCCAGTCATGACCGGAGCTGCTGGTTCCTCATAACATCAGACGGCTTGGGCTTGAGATATGGGGGTTTCCAAAAATAGGGGACCCTAATATAGTACCCTAAATAGTAGGATCCTTATTATAAGGACCCCCAAATAAGGTACCCTAATTTTCGGAAACTCCCATATAGCAAGTAGGGTCGTGTTAGAGGGAGCTTGCGCTGCCTGCAGACCTGCGGCTATTGCTCGCCGTTTACCTACGAGCAGTTGACGCTTTGCTGCTTGAGGCTTTCAGACCGTAAGCTGTCAGACCTGAAACCCGAAGGTTCTTCATCATGGTGGTGGTGGTGGTGGTGGTCGCAGTAATTGATTGGTAGTTTCTGTCTGATCATGTGGCGAAGCCACGTAACTACTGACTGGAAGTGTTATATTCCAGCTGCAGAGTAGGCTTTCAGGCACATTTTCTCGGTGCAGGATGCCAATCTGCCTTTAAGGCACGGTGGAGAAGCCCAGTACTCTCAAGGGATATACACCGAGATGGTTCTAGTATACACTGGACCTGTGTCGGGTTGTGCAGGCTCCTGGGTCCTGTCAAAGCAACAGCTTTCGCGGAGACATTTCCTTAACCTGAAAACCCTGAAGCTGGCCTTAAGCCCTGCCGCGACCAGACAACCGGACGAACAAGAAACGACTGGAAGAAGGGCGTGCGGAGCTTTGCCCCGCCGGAGCCTATGAGTTTGGCTGACATAGATCGAATCACAGTGCCCTAGGACCCAAGTGAAATCGCTGCCCTCATCACTGCACCGCCACATGCTTGTAATTATGTGCAAAGAATCATGAGCGCGTGTTAAGGGGAAAAGGCACCTAAACCCGAATGTATACACCTCGACGGCTCCAGACAGCGGGCTGGTAGCTAATGATCTTGTACTTACCCTAAGCCCCATACCCTCGATGCTAAATCCCATGCCCTGAGCCTCAGAGAGCAGGAACCCGATACGCGATAGACTCTGAACCCTCAGCCCTACGTAGACCTTGCAGAAAAGACGAGGAAGCGCTTTGACAAGCCGCAGCTGACCATGTTGCCCTCCGTTGTCTACCAGTGCCCTGGTTGCCTTTGAACATCGAACCATGACTTCTAAAGCATATAGGGGCCTTAATGATTAAAATAGGGTTCCTTTAAAGGGTTCCTTAAAAGGGATACTATTGGGGTTACTATAACGGTTCTATCTAGGGGCCTTAATAATTAGAATAGGGTTTTGGGGCCCATTATGCCATTGATTTGATAAGGACCCCCCCAAAATTGTACTGGTAATTATTTAGGCCCCTACATTATACCTGTAGGGCTCCAACAACTCCTTGATTCAGTATAGTAGAATGACCTCCCAAGACGTAGTCTACCATACTGGACGCTAAGCACATAATAGCTGAGTAGGAAACTCTTTCGTCTTTACTTTCAGGTTCTTATAGAAATAAATCACGTGGTCAAGCTTGTTGGGATCACGGGGACTCACAACTAGGTATCAACCGTAGGTAGCTGAGCTATACGGCTTGTGAGGTTCCGAAAGTCAGATGCCCCAGGGTTGTCATTCCTCTCGGAAGGGAACCTTGAGAGCTACTTCAAACGGTTTGTGCGGACTGTGTCTAGTACATCATGCCACCATGACCCAATTAAATCTTCAGGATGAATTCAGCATGTCTCGGGCCTTTCAGGGCTGAGGGCTACTACGGCCGTGGAATCAATTGCCTTAGAGCCTTGTGTGTGTGTGTGTGTGTAGCATTGGGTGGTTACGGTTGGGAAAAATTCTAAGTGAACCTTGGCCAAAGACCGAACGACTTTCAAGTCAGCCACCTGGATTCGTGTATCCTTAGACTGGCTTCATCTAGCCCCATGTGGTAGTTCCAGCACCCCATACCCTCACCTTAGGACAAGGTCGCGAGCCTAAGCTTTGTAGTTTCACAAGTACATGTATACATGATAGGGAGTTTATTTGTATGCCTCTATCTTTGCTTAAGGCTGGTCACAAGAATTACTTCAACCTCAGACCCCTTGCTCCCAGTGCCTGCAACCGAAATCCTAAGCCCACACCCAAACCCAATTTTCGAGAAGTCCTACAAACCATAACTCTTGGGCCTGTTTATAAAGCTTTATGCAACCTTTCAAGAGCTCTTATAGAGGCCTTTTGCAGCGAAGGTCCCGCCTGGCCACGACTGACTGTCGGGGATTCGCATCCTGGTTTCAGACGCGACTTGCTTCAATCGTAATATAGGGGGCCTTAGGAAGAGGACTAGAGTTGTGGGTTCTGTGGTACCATAATACACAGGGACTTCTACTTGTTCAGTCCCCTTCGCGTTTGGTGTGAAGAGGGCTTTGTTTACAATATGGCTTCGGGGCAGAAAGCTTGGGCGGAGTTTGCCATGGCTTTGGAAGATTGGCCAGACAGGGCTGTCTCCGAGAAATAGGCGTCCCTTCCAGCTTTGGACACTCACACATGTCATAGTGACATAGTGGCTCAGGGTTATTTTGGTAGGTTTTTTCGTGTGAAAAGAGTTATAGACAATTTAGGTGGATGTGCTGACTTCACGCTTGTAAAAACCGAGTGCGCAGGCTTAAGCCAGGAGTTGAAACACCGAGGACGATGCGAGTTGGATCCGGATTAGGAGCAACTTCCGCTCTATCCCGTAGGAGTACCGTATTGCACAACCTGCTTGTCTTGAATGGCAGTAATGTAGGGGCTTGAACAATTGCTGCTACTACTACTACTACTACTACTACTACTACTACTACTACGCACCGGGCTCGTAGGGCGCCCGCTGCTGGGAGCAAAGTCGTTGTGATATGGTTGTG